CGTTCCGCGTCTTCCTCTCGCATGGCTCCGACACCGAACCGCTTAACGCAACCCTCCGGTTTAGAGGAACGTAATCCCAACTTGCGAACTTCGAAGTACCCCAACGAAGTTGTGCGTGGCTCAGCCGCCTTCGGATCCCTTGACAGTCTGGTACGTTAGAGCACACTGAAAATCCCTTTCATTGTGCAGTCTACCTGCCTTTACTTTCACTGGATTTGATCGCAGGGACCTAGTACCGCACAGGTTTTTCAATAGCAAACTCGGGTTTTTTCAGTCCAAGTAGTAGCACATAGTCACTAGTAGTTTCATGGCCTTCAAAAGGCGCTTTCCCTAAGTGATTTTTCTGAAATAAACGCAATTGAATAGCAGTTAGGCTGAAACCTGACCTGAAATATTGTTTAGCATCCAGAAGACGCGTTCGAGATAATCGACTCAGCCAGCATTAAGGTAACCAAAAATGCACCAAACATATGGACATGCCATATTTGATTTCCTTCTAAATTTCATTTTGTCTGCAACATTCCTCCTATCGCTCGAATCAGTCTAAATATGGCTCCATATCAAGTTCACAATGAATACGAATTGTGCAGTTGCCAAATTTGGAGGATGAAATTGACCTTTTCTGTCATACAACACTCGAAAATCCTAGCATTTTTGGCTTTTTTTCTTTTTCTTTCATTTCGCTTTTTCCATTTTTGTTTGCTTGTAGAATATACTAAGTAGGGTCTCACTTCGTTTTTGGCATTTCTGTAGCTTCCAGACACGGCAAATCGGGTAAATTCATTTGTCGTGTCAGCTGACGTGCACAACGTGATTCCGGAACCAATCGGGATCTCATCAGAGCTCATTCGACGGCGACAGAACACTGCTCAGCCCCATGAATCCCCAAAACCCTCAACTTCCACTCCAAATCAACCAAATCTTCCTACCTGTTCACGAAATGTAGGTTTTGTTTATTTAACTTCCACCATTTGTTCCCATACAGGCCCCTCTCTTGTTTAGAGATAGCAGCAAACAGTCCGTGAATATTTACTTTTAGCCAGCATGCTTTAACGGGAATAAGAAACGGACACTCTGGAATAACAATTTGGCGCAAGACTAGATTTCTCGGATGCAAGCCAAGGAAATATGGCGAAATCTAGGGACTTGGAAGCAAAAGGGAAAATTATTACATGGGCTACACACAGCTGTATGTAACAAGCAATTTGCGAACAGATTTAAGTCAGCTCTGAGCGATAAATGCAGGATTTGTGTTTTTAAGCCTTTTTTCATAAGTTTGCAAGACTTAAGTAGAGAAAAGGAGTCGTCGTGCTTATTTTGCGCGTTAAAGTTCCGTGGCATACCATAAAGGTTGTAGGGAGTGTACTTTGATAAACAAAAAATGTATCACCCAGCGCTGAGCTTCGTTTAATTTTGACAGCAATTAAAAAATGTATTTGTACGTCGCCATTAAGGATTTTGTGCTCAACGTTGTCTCCTCAGGGGACACTATCTGATTTTTGCACAAAGGGTCCGAGTACTTATACCCCCTAATCACAGCGAGAAGGCTCCTACTGAATGATCTTAACACTTCCCTGACAATGGAACATAATATTAATTTCGGTTATGTAGGAAAGCAATACTTAGATGCTGCGGTTTTGTAAGGACCGAGGTGAACAACTGGCTGCATTGTAATCTGTTTACACGCTTTTGTCTAGCATCTCTTTTCGCTAATTTTTTTTTCAAATTAATCAGCCAAAGAGATGGGGACAGCTGGCATATAAACAGTACCTTTTTAATCCTCTTTGCATATTTCATGTCTTTCCTTCAACCGAAAGACAGCAAGTCACGTCCTTCGGACATCAGCAATGAAGCCTGATAGAAAAGCGCTGCCTTTTTTTCACAAAATTGGCTATTTAATTGTTTCTCGTCACTTTGGGCTGCGTCAAACTAGGATCGAAATTGGTCAACTGTCTTTCCATCAATACGGTTATTAGATGGAATTGACAGCCCTGTTTAGTAAGTTGCATCAATATATAACGGCATGGGAGACAACGTCCTCCAGAGTGACTTATGTAAGGATGAGGACTATTTTGACCGCTTTTAAGATATGCTCGAGCCCCCTCTCGTGGCCACCTATCAACCGTATATTAATAGTGATGGTCGTTCTGCAAACTTGCTGTTTCTAGGCCACATAATGTGCTCGGTTTTTCATTGAATCTCTTGCTTTACCAGAAAGTTGCCCTCTGGTATCTGCCTTTTTGACGGTTGACACGCATTCAGAGGGAATCCCCAGTGAATGAACCAAGCATGCTGGGGCGTTTAGTGTTTTTCATGTCCCCCGATATATGCCTGGTCTTGGTTGACAGTGGTGGAATGTGTACTTTTCCTCCTCCTTCTCCTCCCATTGTTTGACGCAGTGTGTGCACTGGTCATCTCCGCTGCTCCTCCTACTGCTGCTGCTGCTACATTCCCAGATTTGTTTGCGTCTTCCAGGTTGCAACTTTTTCTCCAAGTATGCTGGTATTATCAAGGAGAAATAAGCCATTAGGAAGGTCTTCATGCAGGCAGCCCTACCGCAAAAACAGTAAGAA